CCAAAATTTGAATTAGAATTCTATCACTCCTAGAGCACAATCTATCTAGGCTACCAGCCAAGATGAAGTAAAAATATTTAGAGAAGTGTAAAAAAGTTAATTTCTTTTACATAAATGAATGTAACAAGAACATATGATAGTCACTTTCCTAGGAAAAATATACAACAAAACACCAATCTCCCTCACATTGCCTATCGAAAGAATACAAACATATATGTGGCCTTAGTATTTCATTTCATGTCTTGCAATTATTGCACACTTTCTTTTCACTTAGTGCAGGATCAATTTTAAGATTTTGGGCGTCCTGTATGAGATTTTAAAATGGGGCCTCCTTCGTGTAATTAAAAAAATATATCAACAAAAAAATATTCCTATACCATTATTTCATTACAAAAATATGACATTTAAATATTTGTTTATATATCAAACTTCAAAAGAATACAATTTTTCATATTCCAAATTTTTTGGAATAAAAAAATAATAATTTTTAAGGCCGAATGCTTTTTCCTTTTTCCCTTACATTATTTAAGACATGATACTATTTAAGACAATTATATTCAAAAAAATTATAATTAATCAGTCACATTATTCTTGGATTTAGTATCTTATACAATTGCATATCAAACCAAGTCAAATGCTTACAATTAATAAAGAAATAATTTATAAAGAAAAATAGTTAAACAGAACATATTGATATTAGTTAGAAATGAGCCTAAACCATGTGAATCATTTCCCTTACTCTGATTTCTTGGTACGATACACAATTAGGACAATAATGTTAAATAAGAGCATTATTTTTCTACTTCTATCTTTTTTTTTTCATAAATATTGTGACATTTAACTAACATAATAATAAAAATTTTAAAATGTTGAGACCCTGTGCGGTCATACTACCTGTGCACTCTCAAGTGTGTGGAAATCCTAACATCTTTATGTTGATTTTGTTCGAAAGGTCCTTGTTTTGATGGCGTGACCTCGTCATATCTATTGCATATTTTTGGACAATCACCTCCAAAATTTCTATTAAACTCCACTTCCAATCTCTTCCAAGAAGATTCCCCGATTTCCCTTCTACACGTACAAATAAAAAAAAGTCAAATATGCTTGTAATATCCTAAAAAAAAAAAAAAAAAAAAA